GGGAACCTTTACCTTTACCTTTATTGTGACAAGAAGTGGCCTCTGACAGTCTTTATCTAATCTGGAGTCCAATATGATGAAACTTGCAGAAAAGCACCAATCTCAAGGATCACATTAGGTCTGATAGATGTTCAGAAAACTTTAATTTCATACAGTCTTTTTTTTAAAAAAAAAAATTCCAGTATGTTGGAATGTTAACATTTTCTTGATGTTCAGTCATAAACGGTTTTCTATTTATCTCTTTGTGTTGTATCCTTCTTTGACCGGGAGTTGGGAGGAATCTGAGTTCATAAAAGGCCTACGATCAAAGAAAATGTTAAGAATGGATCCATAAGAAGAGCTTCTTGATAAGAAGAGCTGTTTGACTGTACAGCAGGCTACCTCAGAAGCTGTGTGCTCTCCTCCAAAACAAACGTTACATGGTTGTCTGTTCTGGATGCTTCAATGGTGGATTTCTTGCTACAGGTGAGGTCCCTTCAAGATATGCATGTGCATGATTCCTCAATTTGCATAACAATCTCTCCCCCCCCCAAAAAAATAATGTCTCTGTGAAGTTTAACACACACACAAACAAATGCACTAAGCACAAAAGTACAGACTGACTGATTCCAGAAGTGCAGAAAACCATCCAGCATTTACTCTTTTATTAATACGTGCAGCACATCAGCCATTGCTGCCGATTTAAATTTTGTACATTGAAAAATGGGCAAAACATGGCTTCAGAAAGAGATTAAAGGTTACTCCAAGTCATGTTTGCCACCAAAGAAGGAATTGAAACCCTGTTTTCTTAACCTCTTCTTTTTTTTCCCCTCTTGGGTTCCCGATGTTCTCGACAGTCAAGAAAACTGCTTACTTCCCACTTTCATTGCCTTTATCCACAGTGGTTTTCTTCTTACTATTTTAATTGTTGTTGTTTTTTTGCTCCGTAAACAAGATATGTAAGAAAGCCACAATTTTTTTAAAAAAAATATTACTAATGGGTAGCATTTTCTCTTTATCTCTGTGCCACCCCCCCCACGTTATGATTTGCTAAACTAACTTTTTAGTATAATACAGTACATATAATCAATACTATGACTTACATGGGTTCAGATAATTTTTGAATGGCAATTTGTTAGACTGCTTAGTTCATTAAGATTTCTGTATTTTCAAATATGTTTTCATGACTTGGAAACAGAGATGGGCATGAAATGAACCACAAAGCAAAGCAAAAACCAACCAACGATGCATTGGGCCATTTCATGGCTCATTTTGGGGGGTCTTCGGGAAAATACACCTGCACAGAAGAAAACAAAACACCGAACTATTTAAAGTTTTATCATGACAACATGTTGTGAGTTTGTCACACAGAGGCCGTTCTACTGCTCCCAGAAGTCCCAAATCACATGAACCACAAAACAGTTCATTTTTTCAGAAAGTTCGTGAACATTTGTGGTTCGCAGTAGATGAATAGCAATGAAACACAAACCATTGCAAACAGCCATTTCCCCAGTTCATGCCCATCTTAGTTGTAAATACTTCTGAAGGAGTTTTGCATTATGAAATGTCCCAAGTCTCACACATGAATCATAGTGTTTTGACCGGTTTAAACACTGTTTCTCCATTTCGCTTTGTTGGTTTGCCAACACCCATAGCTTCATTCAGACAAAAATCTGACATCAGGGCAACTTTGCTT